TCGCTACTAGGTCTGGACGCATAGCGTCCATCGGGCCCACGGAAGTGGGAGGAGGCAGTAGAAGATACCCCGACCCGTGCCGTCTTCCCCACGCCTAAATCAGCTTGAGGTGGGGCATCCCCAGCCTCAGCATCACCAGCACCATCAACAGCATCATCAACAGCAGCAGCACCAGCAGCAGCACCAGCATCTGGGGCATTCCCAACCTCAGCATCACCGTCATCATCATCATCCTCGTCAATGGAATCACTCCAATTAGCCTGCCATACCGATGCGGTATCTGGTGTAGGAGTACTGGTAGTACCTCGACTAAGAGATAACTGCCCCACAGTAGGGTGGCCGTCAGGACGCACTACATCCGCCTTCTTCTTCCTTCTAACCTTAGGTGGATTTTTTTCTTCATTTTCCTTCCTACCAGTCGCCGTAAGTCTACAAGCACGACCTTCCATTCTCTCCTTATTTCTCGCCTTAATCATATCCGGTTTACCCATTCCATGTCCAGACATCTTCAAAAAAAAGTTTGAATTATTAATAATGGAGTACATAAAGTAATTAATTTAAGATTTTCATAATTAAAATTATAAAACTAATAGTTTTAACATTTATGTTACGTTCTATGTAATAATTATTTACTTTTTAATCAAGGTCAAATTATTAATAATTAAGTAGATAAACGAATTACTTTGAAATTTTGATTATTAAAATGATAAAAACACATTTTTAATTTTTTATAATGTTCTTTAAATTTGTTATCTTTAATTAACAATTATCGAATACGTTTTTATATCATTATTGACAAAATAATAACTAAATTATTTTTATTAAGTATATTTTTAATCATTTTTTTCTATTAATATTTATTGAATAATAAAATGACAGAAAATTAAAAAAAAAAAAGTTGACCGCGGTCAACTCGCGGTTGGTCCGCAGGCTAACCGCGGTCAACGCGCGGTTGGACCGACGGTCAACGCGCGGTTGGACCGACGGTCAACCGCGGTCAACGCGCGGTCCGACCGATGGTCAAATCGCGCGTTGACCGTCGGTCCAACCGCGCGTTGACCGCGGTTCGCCTGCGGTCCAACCGCGCGTTGACCGCGGTTAGCCTGCGGTCCAACCGCGAGTTGACCGCGGTCAAACGGAACCAGAGCATCGCGGTACCTTTCTCCGGCGGTCTTCTCCGGTGACGAGTGGCGACTGGCGGGAGGCGGCGGTCTTCTTCGGGGACTGGCGGAGGGCGGCGGCTGGACGACGCGCGGCGGCGACTGAGGGGACTGGCGGCGGTGCGATCGGCGGGACTGGCGGAGGGCTGCGGCTGCCGCACGGCGACTGAGGGGACTGGCGGCGGCGGCGTTCGGCGGGCGGGACTGGCGGCGGCGGCGATCGGCTGGCTACTGGAGACCTGTCGGGCGGCTGTGCGGGTGAGAGGGCGACAGCGGCTGCGGGTGAGATTTTTTTTTTCTCTCTCTTCAAAGGGCGGGTGAGGGGGAAGGGAAGTGAATTTGAAATGTAGGGGTTGTTTGTTTAGAGTTTTTATTTAAGGGTATATAAGTAATTTTATATTTAAGTTAGGGCGATGTTTAGCAATTCTTAGGGCGACATTTAGCGATTCAGTTACTAAAAGAGCTGGATATAAGCAGGGGACTTTTCCTGTAAGGTACTTGGGTCTCCCACTTATACCAGGAAGTTATAAGTGAAATCTTGCAGACCTCTTATAGATAAACTTATGGCAATGTCTATTTTTTACCCAAACCTTTTTCAGATTTTTTTATTTTAACCAAACCTATAGAAATTCTATTTATTATCCAAACGTATTATAATTTATCAAAGTCTGGGCATTCATTCTGTTACCGTTACTTATTTCGTCCACGTGAGAGGTGGGATTTTGTTTTGTTTTTTGATAATCTTTTTATTAAAAATAGTAAATGATGGTTTTCTGACCGTCATGTAGGAAGTCAACTCATTACGGTCATACTTAGTCAGCATTACTAACAGAAAAGTTGACAGAGAGTTAACGTTTGGATAATTTTTAGGAATTCAATAGGTTTGGTTAAAATAAAAGAATCTGAAAAAGGTTTGGGTAAAAAATAGACATTGCCCATAAACTTATTCCAAGATTAAAAGTTGGCAGTTCAAATCTTTGAGTTATGCTGGAAAGTTGCATATGATAACATCAGTACTTCACAGTCGTACACAGTTTTGCATGGCCATTATTTTCCTTCCTAAAGTTGTGATCCACGAAGTTGAAAGACTTTTTAGTGATTCACTACTACAATTGGCCTATATAGTCCCGAAGTCATAGCTATGAGAACATACGTGGTAGCTAATACCAACTAATAGCTATAAAATAATTTATCTGTAGCTTTCATTAAGATTTATAGTCACAACTTTTATAACCCGTAGCTATTTTCATAATTTTGTTTCAAATTATATTTATTGTGGCAATTAATATATCTTCACCATGAACTTTTTGCTAGGTCATACATTTGTAGCTAGTCATGGGTATATTTAGCTAAGAAAGGAAAATATTTGTGGCAAAAGTAGTATTTCAAACATCTTGTGCCACGAAAATAACTTTGTAACAGTTTATGTACAATTCTTTGTTGTAGTCTTTAAATAGTGTAGGTATTATGTTTATAAAATTGTTATGAAGTATTTAATTTCTAGCAAAAATCAAAGATTTAGGGTTGATAAACTTTGTGGCTAGAACATATATTAAAAATAAATTTAAGTGATACAATAAGTTAGTTTGATTACGGTAAAAAAATGTTAATATAGAACATGCTAGGCATATACTAGCCTCTATATATACATAAAGTTTAAATTAGCTATCTTATTGATTTTTTTTTTTTTGAAACGTCAAATATAAAAGAGTGGCCTAACCTGTATTTACAATATAACGAGTCGAACAGTGACACTGAACAAATTATACTTCATCAGTGTGTTAGAGGCTTTGATCATCACGATCAATTCCATGTAATCCTAAAGTAAGTAAAATGACCACAATTAGATATGTAGCGCGGGAGTGGTTACATTCTCGATAGGTGTGGCCAATTATAACTTCCAATCTTAATTAAACAGTTTCAAGACCTGAATGTTGAGGGAAATATTTTTATGACCTTTTGTAAACTTGGCTCTAAGAATGGAACGAGTCATTTTCGAACAATATTTCTATCTTTCCCGTGATTGTCATGCAGGTGGCATGCCGGCCGGTTGAACTGGTTCAATCGGTGTCGGTCGTGAAATTGGCATGAACACTCCCGGTATGACCGGCATGATTGACTAATTAATTCTAAGCAAAATGACGTCGTTTTCGTGAATTTAAGTAATAAAAAATTAATTTATTATTTATTTCATGAATTTATAAGTCAAAAGTTGATGTTATTTGTTGGATTGAAACTAAATTGTCCTTAAATATGTTTTATATGTGATTAAATTGATTGTATGTTAGTGATTTTTACATATTTTGTTAAACCGACATGAACGGGCACACAAATCAATTGTATCACTGGTCGTACCATTCCACTTGCCATATTTTAGGGTTGGATTACTGTATATGATGTAGGGCTGGGAAACGGTGCGGTCTGGTCCAGACCAGACCATATATACGGTCTACGGTCCAGACCGAGAGGCTAAAGTATAGACCATAGACCAGACCACAGACTATACGGTCTGGTCCAGACCACGCCTGTGCGGTCTGGTTCGGTCTGGTCTGGTCCAGATAGACCACACTAAACGAAAAATGAATAATTTGTTTAGTCAATCACACAAAAAATTGAACCAATAACCAAGAAAAATAATTGTTATTTGCCTTAAAACATTATTCCTAATATGCATGAATAATTTTGATACTCTAAATCTTAGTACATAACAAAGATACAAAGTAAAAGCATCCCAGCTTGCACCATAATGTCATAAACATTAACATAATGTCATATGGAGACACGATTATCTCTACTCTGTGGTTAAATGTGGTTGTGAATGAAGGAGGGAAGAGATTCACAAAATTAAGGTTGAGACTTGGGTGTGGTTGTGGGAGTTTGGAGAGTGGTCGAATGGGCTGTTAACACGTATTGAGAAGTCAGTTGGATCAACGGTTTGGTCCGGTAAACCGCGGTCTAGACCAGACCAGACCAAGTGATCAAATCATAAAATAATACAGACCATGGACCAGACCAGACCATACTTCACGGTCTACGGTCCGGACCAAACTATGTGGTACGGTTTGGACCACGGTTTTTCTAACGGTCTGGTCTATTTTCCCAGCCCTAATATGATGATAAGCGGATATATATACCCACACATAAACTATACGAGGAGCCTTCGGCAGCCGCCACCGAGTTCCAGTAGGATAGGAGAAGAAGAGAGCTCAATTGTGAGGTAGACGAGATTCGCGACCCGTGGCTGCAAATGCAATCATGAGAGAGATGCAATGTCGAGGGTATCGTACATAACACTCGGAGGTCCGATTAGCGCTTGATCATCAATGGCCGTGAGAGATCGATCGGAGTACAATTTACGATCAGCCGGATTGCCGGAATGATGATGATGATGTGGCGGCGGAGCTCGGACGACGCCCACACCGCCGCCGCCGATAGGGCCGGCGCCAATAACTGCCTTACAGAAACCCTCAATGACCGGGAAAAACTTGGAATGCTGGAAAGGCCCGAAAGATTCTCTTATCTCCAGTTTTCTTTTCATCGGCCACTTACAGTTGCAGCTGGAAAGGGCGGAAAAGCCAGAAACGTACACAACAATAGGCCTTTTAGAAAAGCAGAGTGTTGTGTCCTCTGTGCTGTCCTGTCCTGTCCTGTCCTGTCCCCTGTTTTGGGGTTTCTTCCGGTGCAAGAGGATACTTGTTCTTGGGGATATTGGAAAGCAGGACGACATTGAGTGAGGCCATTCTCCAATACTGTAAGTGGAAGAAGCAGCATGATTTAACACAAACCCGGCCAGTCATTCATTGAGAAATAAAGATTGACCGGAGGAAAGAAAACCAAAACCTATTCGACGGGCAATACCAGCTCCAGGGTTATCCGAAGAGCGAATTTGGCCAAGAAAACACAAAGTCGCGTGGCATATCTAGCAGCCGATTTGGCCAAACACTTCACTCTCATCCTTGTCTCCATTTTCAGGTCCTCCAATTCCTTCAGGTCGTCGAGTCCATTGACCTCGATCAGTTTCGTGCAACCCAAGACATCAAGCCTCTGCAACTTCTTGAGACCAGACAGATCCCCCAATTCCGTGATTGACCTGCAGCCACGCAGTCTCAGAACCATTAACGACTCCAATCCCTCAACTCCCTCTACCCCAGTCAGCTCGATGCATCCCTCAAGGTCCAAACTCCACAGATTCTTGAGGCCGGATAAGTTGGGCAGCTTCCTGATCGAATCGCACCTAAGCAGACGTACCCACCGACGAGATTCGTCAAGCTTCGGCAGTAACTGAAGTTTAGCTCCTTGAGATTGACGAGCTTGGACAGATCAGGCAGCTGTTCCCCGCCAAACCATAGTTCGTGCAAGCTCAACGCCTCCAATGCTCCTAGAAGTTGGAGTACATCAAAGTTTGTCAATCTGGGACATCTTCTGATTGTCAGACGGGATAGACACTCCCCGAGGCCGAGGCCTTGTATGTCAACGAGATTCGGACAGTCGCTAACCTCCAGATCCTCCAACTTGCCCAGATTCGCTAGGCTTGGCAGCCTCTCCAGCTTGGCGGACGACCTCAAGTTCAGGGTCCTGAGGAGGATCAGATTCTCAAGTCCGTTGAAATTGTTCAGGTTCCGGCACTCGATCCACAAAGTCTCCATAGCCCTCAGCTCTCCCAGCCCCCGAATCTCGGCCACCCCAATACCCGAAAGTTCAACTCGAGTTATTGGGGCCAAGTGGTTAGTTTGCTAACATGGTATCAAGAGCCTAGAACCGAAAGGTTATGGTTTCGAATCCTCATAATGACCCCTATTTCATGCCAATTCGTTTAGCACAAGGAATGGTATGTCCAACCTGTGCAAACTAAAGCCTCGTGGTTTGGCAGCACAAGGGTTCAACCTGTGCAAACCGTAAAAATCCACAATTCGACATCGGCTTTCGTTTGAGGGGGCGTATAAGAGGTTAAAAGGCTTAACTATCCCTTTCCCAACAACTCGAGTTATTGGGGCCAAGTGGTTAGTTTGCTAACAATTTCCTGCTTTCCATCCAGCTGAGGGCAACACCAAAGACGAGTCAATCCGGTGATATGACACCACTAATTGCCACTTGGTTAAGCACAGAGCAAGGGTTTCTGCATCAAGGTGTATCAATGTCTTTCTGATAGAATCCTGAAAATTTGAGGGATGTGGAGAAAGAATTTGAGAAGGGAGAACAAGGTGTATTAATTATTGTGCAGGAATTGGACATGCATATGGTAAAGGTACACAACCTTTTGGATTGAGATAATAAAAACAGTGCTCTTGTGGAACATACTGGTGGCCAATGCTTTGGGATAGGCGTTGGCAAAATCAGCTTGGCCATCTACAAGTCTAGGACGATGGTTGACGGTGCCATCCACGTACCTGGAAGCGGTTGTGCCGATATTGGAGGATAGTTGTCGGCAAAAATACGTTTGCGACTTCAGATCTTGATTTGGCCATTGACAATATCTCGGTGGATATACGACGACATTGTACGAGGATTGCGGAAGGTGACAACACATTGACTAACCTGGACTTTTAATGTATTCGAAATGAGTCTTGTTGATATATGGGACGATCATCTTAGTAAAGATAATATTTTGACCAATCTTAAATACAAATATTAAAAAAGACACATATCAGTAGTAGCGAGATTCAGTTCTCGGTTGAATCAGAAATAGAACCATATAAATTGGCCTGGTTACAACTGAAATATGCATTAACAACACGCTGTTTGATTTGATTTTCAGGTATGGTGGGAGGCTGGGAGCTAGAGGCTAGAAAATGGTAATGGTCCTGTTATAACAAGAAAATGGATAACAGACGTAACAACCCTAAGCCCACTTAAACTCAAGCTCAAGTCCAAGCCACCCGACCCCACCTAATCTTTCTAGCTTCTGATTAGGGGTGGGTAACGATCCGATTCATACAAGATCAAATTAATATTTGGATAGAGTCGGATTGAATATATTTTGATTCAATTTTGGTATCATGAATTATTTTAAGTATGAAAAGAAAATAGTCCGAAACTAAATTTGGACCGGTTCGAATCGAACCAAATATGCTTTTGGTCCAGTCAGGGGTTGACCCAAGTAGAGAGGTGGCCGGAATTTTTGTGAGAGATCCCGATTTCGTCTATACAAATTTTTTGAACCTATGACCTCCGACACACTTTCAATAATTGTATCCGACACACCTTCATTACACGCAAAGAAATTGATTGTTACTAAAATTACTAAAAATATGTAATATATATCATTCATTTTAATTTTTAATCAACTATGAAAATTATATCATGTTTTATTTTATTAAAAAATCCACAAAAACCATCCCACCCATCCTTAATTAAATGGAGCATTTTCATTACCCCTTTTAACTCCACTTCTCTTTTTTGTTAGACAAAAATTAAAAATCTCTCCCAGGGGAAAAAAAAACTTTGCACATCCCTTTACTCCTTTCAATTCACATTGCATCCTCTCGTTCTTTGTTTGTCGAGCATCGAGAGGGAAAAATCTTCAACTTATACAAAGTTCTATGCCTTCCGCTCTATCCTCCACTTGTTGTCGCCCGAAGGTCGATGTCCACATTCTCGTTCAAACTTCCATACTGATCGTCACCCTTTTAGCTCTTCGTAGCCCATTTTATAAAAAGTACGTAATTTGTGAACTCTAACTGACAATTTTACGTTTTTTCTTCCCATTTTTCTCAATCTTACTTAATAAATTGTAATTAAAGGGCCAATTGAATAGATATGTGGTAGATTTTAGTTTGATTTTGACTAATTCGGGAGACGTATAACAAGTTTACTAATGATATTATGTTGGACATAATTTGTTTTGTCTTTTGGTTTACTTGCTTTTGAAGTTAATGTTGAATTAATCTATTGCAAATACACGGTGTGAAAGGAGACTTTTCATCTATGAAGTTGATCAAGAGCGATCTTCTGAATCGGTTGAGTGAACAATTTATGAATGCTTGTTTAGTTTTGTCAATAAAAAAGTTTGATTATCAACATAAACAATAAATGTATTTTACCAACTTTTAATTTAAGAATATAAAAGCAGTCATGTTTGCTGTAAAACTACAAAAATTTGAAAAATATATATATATATATATATGGTATATACCTATATGGTTATGTCTTCGGTGTGAAAACGATGTCAATCATCACTTGTGGTATGATGAGCAAGAACCACATGAATTTGTACAAAAAATCATTCAAGATTCACTTTAATTTGAATGATTAAGGGTTTAGGAATTTAGGGTTAGGGTTAGGGTTTACAATTTGAGATTTTGGGTTGAGATTCAAAATTGAAGGTTAATAGGTCAGGGTAATGGGTTGATTAGTTGGGAATATATGTTATATCATCATATTAGACTAATACAACCCATTAAATTTCAAAATTTAATGTATTATAACCACTTTTAGAGGTGGGTGCACTGAATGCACCCAAAAAAGTGAGTGCACCGAAGTAGCCACCATACATATATATATATGGTATATATATGAATATTAATGATAACATACCATTTTTGGGTAGTAATGGTAGATAAAAAACATAGAAAAAAAATATATATATATATATATATATATATATATATATATATATATGTATATATGTGGAGTTCTACAATATCCAGGGTGAAATCCGGGGTACCGCATACATTGAGTAAGAAAACTCTATCCAGAACTTGAATTGATTGATCTTTCGGGCATGATACTATACTCTAACCCTTAAAGATCAAAATCTAGATCTTAATTCTCTAAATCTTATACATACCCCAAGATCAATTTAATTAGAAACAATAATCGACGGTTATGATTCGTCCAAATATAGGCAAAAAAATCAATGCACCATCTTAGGGTTTATAGTTTACGATTTAGATAATTAGGACCTAGGGTTCACTCATTAAGGATTAGGGTATAGTATCATGCCCAAAAATTCTTTTAATTCGAGGTCTAGATAGCGTTTTCTTACTCTATGTATGCGGAACCCCGGATTTCACCCAGGGTACCGTAGCAGGCACCATATATATATATATCTGTTTTCTTATTTTTTCCGACCGACACATCTAGACAAAAATTATGAATCCACCACCAAGTTCGGTCCATATACTTATTTTTTTTCTTTTATTTTTTATCTGATCCTATTAGCAGACATGGGCCAACATCCCCAGCCCGTCTTCACAAAACCCATCCTGGGCTCGTATGCAGTTGGGTGAACTGAACAAGAACCCACGGCGTCCCATGCGCAACACGTCTCTTTTGCGACTGTCCGCAGTCAAATTATCTCCCTGCCGGTCCCTCCGTCACTGCCCGAGGCCTTCAGGATTGTTTATAATGATGAGCAACAACGACTGCTGACTAAGACCCGCAAGCCTCTCCCAGAGGCAGCAGCGTTCGTGACTCATGGTGAAGCAAATTGAGGTGCGTCTAGCGCCCGCAATCCACGTGAACGAGGCTCGGCCGACAAGGAAAAGGATACCCGGATTTGCTCTCATTGCCTCAAACCTGGGCATTTGCGGGAGACCTGTTATCAGTTGATTGGATATCCTTCCTGCGACAAACAAGGCGATGGACTGGCCGTGATGTAGGTCGCGATGGTGGAGATGCTCGTGGTCAAGGTCGGGAGCCGCGGGCCTCCCAAGTGGAACATGAGTCGAGTCCCGTTTCTGGTTTTAGCGCCCAACAACTGGAGCAGCTAAAGCGGTTTTTTGGCTCTCAATTCTCTTCTGCCACGGATCCCTCAAGTCACATGGCTGGTACGTTTTCCTTTTGTGATAAATGTGAATGGATTATTGACTCTGGGTGCAATGAGCACATTACTATGGATGGTAATCTCCTCACTACGGATCATCATGGTAATCTCCCGAATGGAGCTAGTATTCCGGTTAAACGCAGTGGAACGGTTAAGTTGAGTGATGGGATGACATTGAGACGTGTTTTACATGTTCCGGAATTTCGCTGCAACCTCTTATCAGTTAGCCGACTTTGCCAAGAACATCATGTTGCTATAATCTTCCTCGATGATTTTTGTATCATACAGGACTTACACTTCAGGAACGTGATTGGGAAGGGGGAGATTTTTGATGGATTGTATTTTCTATAGTTGTTCGGATGTCGTAGTGCTCGGGTTCATGCTGTCGACAAGACTCCTGCACTACCTTGGCACGAAAGGTTGGGACACCCTTCATTGGCGGTCATGACCAAGCTTCAAGACCAACTTCCTACTCCTGCAGTTTCGGGTCCTAGTGTTTGTCACCCTTTCTCTCATGCTAAGCAAGTTCGGACTAGTTTTCCTGTTAGTGGCATTCAGACTACCTCTTGTTTTGAGCTGTTGCACATGGATATTTGGGGAGGATATAATACTCCTTCTTACAGTGGTGCTTATTATTTTTTGCCAATCGTTGACGATTTCAGTCGTGGTGTTTGGATTTATCTTATTAAATTCAAATCAGATGTTGGGAGGTATATACAGCTTTTTTGCAATCTCGTTCGCACTCAGTTTGGTAAACATGTGAAGAAGATTCAAACTGATAATGGTTCTGAGTTTGGGACCATGCAGCTGCGTGATTTCTATGAGAAGGAGGGCATTCAGCTACAAACCTCTTGCACATATACACCACAACAGAATGGTGTGGTTGAGCGCAAGCATCGTCATCTTTAGATACAACACGTGCATTGCGTTTTGAGGCCTCCTTACCCATTCGATTTTGGGGTGAGTGCCTACTCACTGCAGCATATATGATCAACCGGTTGCCCACTACTGCCACAGGTCCTACTCCTTATGAGGTTATATTTGGAAAGCCGGCTAGTTATTCTCACTTGCGCGTTTTTGGGTGCCTTGTTTACAGCAAGCATACTCACTCACATTTGGAAAAATTTGCTGAACGAGATTGTGCAAGTGTTTTTCTAGGTTATGCGGCCAGTCAGAAAGGTTATCGCGAGTATGATCTGGAGAGCAAGAAAATTATCACAAGCTGTGATGTGTTATTTCATGAATCCATATTTCCCTTTCAGTCTGGCACATCACAGCAGTTTCATTGGGTTCTCCATGGTGATTTTACTAGGCAGGCTGATGATTTGGACGATGAGCTCGTCCTGGCTGATCTTGCTCCCATCCCGCCTTCGTCGATGGGCTGCCCCGCTGAGCTCCCTCATGCCCCGCCATCAGTTGGGCACGCTCGGCCCTCTTCACCACATGGGCCTCTTGAGCCCGCTAGCACACCTTCTCCTCCGCATTCTAGCAGCCCGTCTTCAAATTCACATTCCCCAGTTCCTTATTCTCCTGCCGAGACCTCTACATCACCACCTGACCTTCGGCCACATTCTTTCTCGCCTCCCTCACCTCCGTAATTGCCACGAGGTGACCGAGTTCGTGTTCCCCCAAAGCGCCTTGATGATTATTATACATGTCATGAGGCTCATTCAGTGTGTTATCCTATGTCCAATCATCTCTCATATGACAAGTTTTCTATCTCTTACTGTGCTTTCCTTGCTGCAGTTGCCCACAACCCTGAACCTCGTACGTTTCGTGAGGCCTTCATGCATGAATCTTGGAGACGTGCCATGGCAGCCGAGGTCTGGCCCTTGAAGAAAATGGCACGTGGAGTCTTGTGGTCTTGCCACCCAGAAAGCGTGTAATTGGAGCAAAGTGGGTTTACAAAATTAAGTTCAATCCTGATGGTACCGTGGAACGTTATAAAGCCAGGCTGGTGGCCAAGGGTTACACTCAAATAGAAGAGGTGGATTTTCATGACACTTTTGCACCAGTTGCTAAGTTGGTTACCGTTCGATGTCTTGTTGCTGGTGCCGTTAGCAAAGGGTGGTACATCCATCAGCTAGATGTGAATAACGCATTTCTTCATGGTGATTTGGATGAAGAAGTTTATATGCGGATTCCTGAGGGTTTTGCTGCACCTGAAGATACACGTGTTTGTCGCCTTCATAAGTCCATCTATGGGCTCAAACAAGCTTCACGGAAGTGGTATAAAAAATTCACGACTGCTCTTTGTGAATTGGGGTTCCGTTCGTCACCTGCAGATCACTCTATGTTTGTTTTTCGCCGGGGGAGTACTCATGTCGTTGCACTCATTTACGTTGATGACGTTGTGCTGACTTGGAATGATCTTGCGTTCATGTCTCGTGTTAAGAGTTTTCTGCATTCTCGCTTCACCATCAAGGATTTAGGTGATTTGCGATATTTCTTGGGTATCGAAGTTGCCCGGTCACCAGAAGGTATGGTACTTAGTTAGAGAAAATATACTCTTGATATCCTCCATGATTCAGGTGTTATGGCTAGTCGCCCCAGTGCCTTTCTGGTCGAGCAGAATCATCGTCTGACTCAGCCTACTCCTGCCAATCATCCCGACCCTGCGGCGTATCATCGGTTGGCTGGTCGATTACTCTACCTGATTGTCACACGGCCAAACATCACATATGATGTTAACATCCTTAGTCAGTTTGTTCATGCCCCTACTCAGGCACATATGGATGTTGGTAACCGGATTCTTCGCTACTTAAAGGTTGCTCCGGGACAAGGATTGTTCTTTCCTGCGACTAACGCTCTCGATCTAGTTGCTTATTGTGATGCCGACTGGGGTGGCTGTCAGTCTACTCGACTGTCCACTACCGGCTATGTCATTAATCTTGGAGGTGTTCCCATCTCCTAGCGAACCAAAAAGCAACAGGTAGTCGCCCGATCCTCTGCTGAGGCAGAGTACCGCGCCATGGCAAGCACGCTTAGTTAGGTACTCTGGTTGCGCTGGCTTCTCCGGGTACTTGGTGTGTCTCTACATGGACCCACTCCTCTTCATTGTGACAATCAGGCAGCTCTCCATATCGCTGCTAATCCGGTATTTCATGATCGTACCAAACATGTCGAGATGGACTGCTACTTTATTCGTGAACGTGTTCAGTCTGGTGACATTGCCCCCATGAAGATTAGTTCACATCTACAAATTGCTGACATGTTTACTAAAGGTTTGGGTGCCGAGCGTTTTCATTTTCTTTTGTCTAAGCTGCAGGTTCGTAATCTTCACGCTCCAGCTTGTGGGGGAGTATTGGCGGACATGGGCCAACAGCCCCAGCCCGTCTTCACAAAGCCCATCCTGGGCTCGTCTGCAGTTGGGCGAACCAAACAAGAGCCCACGGCGTCCCATGCGCAACACGTCTCTTTTACATGCCCTAGTTGTTTTATTCTTGTTGATAGATGTAAGGATATAAAACCTACTGTAAGGCCGATGGCCATGATTAAGCATTGATCAATAAAAAAACAGCCGGAGAGTTAAGCTCTCTCGTGGACTAGTCCCGATATCAGGAAAATCACGTAAATCTCGTCTTGTTCTTCTTTTCAGTTTCCGTGAATTTTACAGATCCTATATCAATTCGATTCGGTTCTGGACCGAAATGATCAATGTCGAACTCTACTTTTGGTTGATTAACAATTGAACATGTATTCTCTTTTTGTAAACCACCCAACAAGCTGAGAGGTAACGCCATGAAAATGGCATGCTTGCATAATTTCCAATGACTTTAACTGGATATTTATAGTTAGTTGATACGTATGTATTTAGCGCTGGTTTAGACTATTGAATTTTGTATCTCTATATTTTCAAGATTTAATTTTTTTGGATTGTTGAATTTTTTTAATATGTTTATTGTTTTGGTAATTACGATTGTGATCAAATGACATGTTCATCATTGACAAAGATATTTTGACTAACTAAAAAAGTATTGAGAATTTCTTGATAAGGATATTTACTGAGATAGATAAAAGATAAAGTAGAAAATAAAACTTAAAAAGCAAGATGTAGAACCTCTATAATTATGATATATTTAATATATACAGATTTTACAGATTTGAAATATTTGAACCTAAAATCGACAATACGAAAGGCAGCAAACAAAAATAATATTATGATAAAAAATCTATAGATTCAATGAACCCATAAACCAAATCAGGCTTGTTTTTAGCAAAATGTCGATTTTATTACATTAGTCCTTACTATTATTCAATTTGGTAAGATGAGAGTGCACAACTGCACATCTTATTAACATAACCCAGTCAAATATCAAATTAGAACCAAATTCATGAAAACATAATAACATCAACAATCCATCGTTAGAATTCTAAACAAAGTAGTCGCTAATTAACCACCATACTAAAAAAACACAAGCTCATTAATAAACATGATACCGTAATTAAGTTAACATCCCCCCAACATAAATACGATAAAACTAGCTAGGCATCTCTCGCAAACCGACTAATAAAAACATCAAAGGGAGAGAGCCAGATCTACCATATATATATAATTAGTTACTAATTAGCGTAATAATATTTTCTCTTCTTTAGCCACCCTCCAAACTCTGGTTGCTAATGATCCTCCGGAATCGTCTCTAAAGCAGGCCTCCACACACCATCTTCACAATTACCACCACCATCTTCCATTCTCCTCCCTTTCGAACCAAACCTCCCGCGATACTCCCTCAGCTTCACCGCCCTCACCAGCTCCTCCAAGGAAGACGATCTCAGCTCCTCCCTGTGCCGCTTCAGGATCTCCCTCAACTCATTTTTCGTCACCAGAACTCGAATCCTCACTGCCGCCGCCGTCGGTGACCTCTTCCCTCCATCTTCACCACGCTCCTCATCGTCGTCGTCACCTCTTTTGACGAACCTCACACTCTTCTTCTGCTTCTGCTTCTGCTTCTTCTCCGTGGCTACGGCCGAGAACCTAGTAGGAGCGGTAGTGGTCTTCCTCCTCTTGATCTTCATCAACTTCTGTGCTAGCTCCAACTGCTCCGAATTTTCGTCATCTTGTGGCGAGAGGGAGGCGATTTTGTTGCTGTTGTGGTGAGCCGTGATACAATTTCCCATGGTTTGAGATTTGGTGACTAATAATAGTCTTTGGTGTTTTTTGTTGCAAACTTGGTGGAAGGGAAAACGAAGGGAATGTGGGAGAATGGGAAAGGAGGGTATAAATATAGAGAGGAAGCACATGAAGAAATCCGTTTATTGCGCCGGGTAATTGAGAAGAGAAGGGAGTGGCCAAACGGGTATCTTCAACTCGAGACAACAAAAAGGAAATGTATAGGTTTGATTATGTAAAAAATATTTTTTGGAGAAGATGGAGAAGAAATGTAGGCGCATGCCAATTTTGTATGTATTAAAAATTGGAGCAGTCACTTTTGCTGGCGACGTTAATGTGTATTTGTTTATTGGAGGAAGCGGCGGGTAAACTATCATTTTTGTTATTTAGTTTTAACTATTCGTTGTTTTAAGTAAACTAATCCAAAAGAGTGAGCTAATTTAGAAGCAATCAAGTTTTATACTGAGAAAAATGAATTTAATTACTTGTTGCTATCAGGACGTGATTATTTATGCGGCGAGATTCTCCGGTTTGGGGAGCATTTTCAGTTTGCAAAATGACAAAAACAAGTTTCTTTGGTAGTTCTCGGACGATTTTGGATAACAAGTCGGCGAGAACTCGGTTGTGGAGATTAGGGTAAGAATTTAAGTGAGTTGGCTATTGGCTTAGATCAATTATAATAATTAATATTATTTAGGCTGGATCTCATGGTAATAGATTTTTAAGTACAAACGACTAAGTTTGCGAGATCGCCAGAGAGCCAAGTCTGACATGACCACATTGGTTGCAAAATTTAAACCTACACAATTAAAATCGCGCTTTAAAATTTAAAAAGTTTACAATTTTATGCTTCTAGATCACCAAAACGCTTTCGTTTTCATATAAAATCTTTAGTGCATAAAATTGAACTTAAAGTTTAAAAACTTTCGCTTTTACGCGTTTAGTACCAAAATGCTTTATGCTTTTAGTTCACTAAATGAGTATTATTTTCATGAAATTAATTATAAAAAGTATATTTTAAAGATACATCACCAACAATATCATACATTTGAGATTAAAAGATACATACTTGGTACTTGGATGCATTCCCAGTTCCGTAGAGTAATCTAATTCACCAGCTAGGCCCTTCCCCAATTCATTAACATAGAGGGCAAGGTGGCTTATTGTTAAAATATATGTTTATGAAGTTATTGTTAAGATGCAATGAGTTGCTATATTTTAGACATGAATTGCATGGATTTATTAATTTGTCTAAATTCTGTGCATTCATATTTTACATAGTATATGTCGTACTTAACAGATTTTTAGTTATTTTACAGTATGCATAAAAAACTTACGCTATGATTCTACGCTTTTCGATTTTACCCCTTTTCCGCTACTAGATAGAATCGCGCTTTTGACTGCATTAATCTAGACAACCTTAGTGGCGAGATCTAGATCTAGACCATGTTGGTTGCGAGAATTGGACAACCTCTGTTGTGAGATTAGACCACAGTGGTCGCGAGATCTAGACAGTCTTCGTCATGAGATCTAGATCTAGACCACGGTGGTCGCGAGATCTAGCAGCCTTAATTGCGAGATCGAGATCTTGACCACCTTGGCCATGAGATCTAGACAGTGTTGGTCGTGGCGGAGAGGAGGCAAGCACAAGGACTTCAACTTCAACAAGAGAGAGCTCCTAGACGGTTAAAGAAGCAACCACCACTTTGGAAAAGAGGGAGCAGGTCTTTGCAACAGTTCTCAAGGAGACAGTTTTCTACGGAGGTTACCTCCCCATAGTTATAAGAAGGAGGGGTCGAAAGAGACAAAGGTTCCCAAACCAACAGTCTGACATCGATGTCAAGTTTATCCTTTGTCTTTTCTCTATCATGTAGCCATAGAGGTAGATTTTAGTTTGGAGCTCTCACCGAACGTCCTTAGGAGTAGGGGTAATTTAACTTAGTTTTCATTCCTAGAACCATCAATCAAATACCCTCTTTCAAACTTCTTTTGAATATGTGTGAGTCGTGTCTTAGTAATCGGTGTCCAAAGAAGTCAAGGTGCATTAATCTCAATTCAATGCAAATGAGTCAATATGCTTATGAGAGATTTGTGCTTGAATAAAACAAAGTTTGTTCAGAACTTGGTCGGTTTACTGACGAGTCGAGGTAGACCAAAGCCTTGTTAAGCTCATGAGACTCGTGAGTCAGCTCGACCTGGTGCCTCATTGAACTCAATTGGCGAAATGGATCATTCTGAGCTCACAAGCTGACTCGAGCGAGGCAGCTCGACTAGCGACTTATTAACCAATCGATCTATAGCTTATGAATTGACATGTTGATAGTTCATAAGTTTGTTAGATTGTACACTTCACAATATATGATGATTAGAGACTTACAAGCGACCAAATATGCCTAATTTATAATTTGAAAAAAAATTATTTACTATAGATTGCCTAGGCACTAGTTAGAATTTTTTACTAAATATGATACCAACTTAGTACTTAAGCGTGATATCGATTAGCCATGAAAATTTTAATATCATTATTTTTCATGATATTAATCACATTTATCTTATGTTAATGAGTGGTATATGATTCATAATTGAACCTCTCTGCAACCACTCGAGTTACCGAGAGTCCGAGACCAACTGATTTTTGACATGATATCACAGATATCTATGATCGAGAGGTATCCTATTCGAATATCCTAGTGACTCCCATTAGTAAGTGCATGATGTATGAAGCCTGTGCAAACTTCAAAACCCCATGTGAGCATGATTTCGTTTGAGGGCGTATGTCAGTATGCAATAGAAAATACAGTGTAAATACTAATTATTAGGCAAACCAAATTCCCGTATTCTAAAATATTAGCCAAACCTATCGAAATATAAATAAATAGCCAAACATTAACCCCCTAATTGCGTTAGTAACGCTGACTAAGCATCACGTTGCTGACTTGGCTTCCCAAGTGCCATTTAGCATACCATCATTTTTGTATTTTGAAGTTTTTTTAAAATAAAATAAATACAATTTATTAACTAAACCTTTCATATGAACCCAAGAACCACAACATTTTGTGACAAGCAGCCATTTGTCACCTCACAATCACACATAGATATGCTTTTACGATAATCATTAATTAATTACAGTCTTTTGCAAAGATTGCTTTATGGGTTTGATCACGAGCTCGATGGGATACCGCCTGTGATTTGGTGGTTAATTGCTGATTAGATTATGTTAAAGGGCCACTAATCGCGGTGGCTTCTTCACTCCAGCTTTTGCTATCTCGTTGCTACTATGCTTTCATGTCTTGTTAAAGCCAATAGTTTCTCAAGTCAATTAATGTTGCATGTCACCGCTTAGACTAATAACAGTGACTTTTTTCTTAATTTTTTTTATTTATAATTTTGATCTTTTCTCAGTCGTCATATGATGGACGGCAACGGGGCTTTTTCTAGAATGTCAGCGGCCGCTAGAAATTAGTATGGGAAGGCTCATGCCACAATTTCTCATATCTTTACATCAAGTTTATTTTTGCAACTTGTTATAAAAGTTATGTTGCACCATATTAATATTTTGTTTTCTGATTTGTGTGTAAGTGGACAATACCCTATTGCATTTGATTATTTCATTTCAAGTATAATTAAGCACTCGACTAACGAGAATATCTTCAATGATTACTTGCGCAAAATTATAGGATATACTCAACGACATGGAGCTTGTTTGGGACACATGATGCAAAAAGTCGAGCTATAATTGAGTCTACATTATTCGTAACCAGGGGCGCCTCCTATTATTTTCGATGAGTTCTTCCAGAAAACGGGAGGTTAAGGGTACTCATATATATGATTATAGGGAGGCAAAAATTATAGTAGACGCTATAATGCATAAGGGTCATTTTGATAAAACACTTGTTTGATTATTATTCCATTTAATCCTCATGTTACGTACCGACACCTTTATTTTTAGTCGACGCTTTAACAAATAAAGGTTAGTTTGTTCTACCGTTCTCTCACAATGCAAGCTATCGCAAATGCATGAATGCACTACCTTACAAGTTACAATCCAAAAAATAAAAAAAGTTTAAAATATAATCGGAGCCATAAGAAGAAACCCTTTTGCTAGCTAGATCAAGCAATTAGGAAGTCTCTTCAATCAATAAAAGTTAAAAGGATTGGAATGAAATTACAACCGTTAAAGCATAGTAATCAAAAGTCAACACAAATCAACGGCCCTTGTCGGTGTCGTTGCCTAGAGGTGAACGTATTAAAATAGAGAATTGTAATACCGTATCAGCAAATGAGGACAAAAACGGAAGGTGATGGGTTCATTGTACGTAAGGTTTTTCAAATCAAGAATTGTAATATCGTATCGCAAAAGTTGATGATATGATATTTTAGTATTGAAACTCTAGTTTAATAGTGGTCTAATAATTTTATATGGTTAAAAACCATCTATCGATTTTATACATACACCAGTAAAATATTTTTCCGACTCCAACCGCCGATACCGTGCTATTTCACAAACAATATATTGCTTCAAACGCGTGGAATGTTGCTCAAGCTCAATCCATTTGGGAAATGAACAGATGTGAGAGAGCCAGAGGGCTGCCTGCTAGTTCCTTCATCCTTATAATCATTACTGGCGTTGAAAATGTTAATCGAAAGCGTGAGAATCGCAAGCTTGTTGATACTATGGGTGGTAACAAGAGGAATATACATAATACAATACCTACTTCACATGGGGAATTAGGTCACTTTGAGAGCAGCCATGCATGTGGCAATTGGCCCATTTTGGTGCCTCGGCCCCCTCCTAACTAATTTGATTCATTCTGTATCCTCCAGTATGTATTTAAATGGATGACAGTCAACTACCAATTATCTTGCCCACTTTCAACATTGTGATATTTGTAAATTTTGACCCAAGAGCCACAGACGTGTTTCTCTTTTTTTTTTGAAGAAAATCACATGGCCATCTGTTGATCAATTTCTAGTGGTGGTTAATGGCAAAAGATGATTGACTTTATCA